CTCCTGCTGAATAAAGTACAGGGAATAAAACCCTAATTGATTATTTTAATTTTCCTTCATTCCATTCAGGTACGTTTTACCTTTTGCTGTTTCTTTGCCTGCTTTGCATTAGATTCCAACCATCCAATCAACCATCTGATTCCAAAACTGAATCAGACCAAAAAAAAAAAATAAAAGCACCCAGAGCTAAGTCCACTTTTCACCTCAATTTGTATGCATAGAATCATTTTACAACAGTACAGTTACATTAAAAGGAGACTCTAGTCCTAATTTCAAAGTAAATTCTAAAATAATCTCTCTTAAACCATATCCTCTTAGATTTAATAAGTTAATTTTATTTCCTGTTTGCATTTTTAAGGGCTTGTGTCTCATTTAAACATTACAAACGGAATTTGGAAATATTCCAGAATATTGATTATTGAATATGAACACATTCTGTGCTTTAGCAAATTTGTGGAAAGCTTCTTTAAAGTGTGAATTAATTGAAGTTCCCCATCAACCCAATATGGTCCTGAGTCCTTGAGCCAAGGAAATCAGCCTGGGGTTTTTCCAGCTGTGCCTTGTGCAGGATGTTTGTGAACATCCCACTGACTGCAGACCTGCAATACTGAGCTGGTCCCTGGCTACAAAAGAGCCAAGGGGACCATCAGGGAGGCTGATGCTGATGAGAGCAGAAGAAACTCAGACCTTGAGACCACAGTTATGGTGCTGCTGTGACAGAAGATGCTGTTTTCATATTAAGGGTGTGTTTGCAGTGATGGAAAAGCTCTGGAATAACGTTTCAACTCTGTCTCGTTGGGATAAGTCACTCCATAAATTTCACCCCTTCCTTGGGAGTCCTTCTATTGATCTGTTACCTTTTCAAACCCTTGTGTTTGCTTCATTGTGGCTGAGTTGTGCTGCTGCACTGGCTGCTGGGTGTCTACAGGGCCTGGAACACAGCAATTCCCTGATCATTCCTGCAGGGATAATCAGCCCCTGGAAGGGTTCAAAAACAAGCAGATGTGCCACTTCATGATATGGTTTAGTAGGCACAGGGTTGTTCAGCTGAAAGTTGGACTTGGAGGTCTTTTCCAGCCTTAAAGATTCTAGGATTTTATGATTCTGTTTGCAGAGCCTGCAGGAATTAGCCCTCACTTCAGGAAGGAATTGAGGTTTCAATGTGGGAGTGGGGATGGCAAGAGGAGGAAAACCCTTGGTGCTGTTTTGAGCAGTCTCCATCGAGGGGAGAATCCCTCTCCTGTCACAGGTGCACACCAGAGTGACTGTGCTTAGGCACCCAGCCTCATCCCTTACAGAGCCACATTCATTTTTACTGGTGACAGTTCATCTCCAGCCCTATTTCCAAAGGTGAAAAAGTGAGCAAGTTAGCACGTTTGCCAGGGAATGTACCTGAAATATGGCAGCTCCCATCAATGCAGCATCTCCCCAGAGAACAGGGGCTGTTTCAGACTCATCCCTCATGGTATTGACATCCCCACATGCAGCTAAGGAAAGCATTTGTTCCTCCCTGACATCACCTCTCTCAGGTTGCTTTCCTTATTGATGGTCTGGTTAAAGTCTCTGTATCATTTTGACATTTTTAATGGCATCTGCATTTACAGCAGAGCGCTCGTGTGAGCTTTAATCAGCTCTGTGTTCACACGGTGTTGCTGTTATTATTTATCTCTATTACAGTAACACACTGAGGCAATCAACAAGAGCAGGATCAGACTGTGCTAGGCTGGGACTGAGGTTTAAAGTCTCTCTCCTTGCCCATGGGAGAACTTGCTGATGATCCCAAAGTGCAGCAGGATTCCATGGCTCTGCTCTCTGTCCCAGGACCTGCAGTCACTGTCACACACCAGCCAGGATTTGCCACACTGATGTATAGAGAAAAAAATACCTTTTGGTTGCTGAAGTCTTTTGTTTCTTCTGTGTCTTATAATTTTTACCAGGAGCTACTGTATCCCAGTCCTGTAGCCAGTTACACACTCAAGTAGTCTCACACCTGAGTGAGCTTGCTGAGCTCAGTGGAGTTAACTGTACGAATAAGTGCTTGGATTTTAGCTTATCATCTGTATGTACCTTGATAAAGGTACAGAAGTGCCCACAGTGCAGATCTGGGAGTTATCATTGTATCATTATATAAATATCACATCATGTTCCAGTGAACTGACTCCACAGTCATTGGAGTCATTGGAGTCCTTGCAATATGGGACTTAGAGGAAAAGGGAAAAGAAAACCAACAGGAACTGATAAACTCTGAGCAGCAAAGATCTTATTTTCATGTGAGGTTACTGCAGTGTAAAACCAGGTGAGGATGAACTTTCATTATCCACATTTTGCACTGACACATTGCTAACAAATTTCACTCAATTCCCTTTGGTGAGATTATAAGGTGAGATTTGCCACAGGGAGGAAGCAAGCATATGACCAAATACTAATTGTAAATAAGTGTTCAAGCAGGACGGACTTACAGAAAAGGAGCTGTGTTTGGGGCAGGCATGGTACAGTTGAAACAAGATGCTTGAACTAATGATGGGAAATGATTTTCCCTCCCTACAAATGGTTTTCTTTTTCCTTCACTTTCTTTCAAAGTGAAAAACACAAACCCAGCAGACAAATTGGATGCTTGGAGCACCCACCTGAGACATGAAAGAGCAAGGATAGAATCATATCTTCTAATGAATGTTATTTATTCATATTAGGAAAATTAATTGCAACTGGAGCTGTATCAGCTCAGAACAAGCCACAGTCTGCAGTCAGGGCTCTGATGTGAGGTGTGGGAAGGCAGGAATCAATCCCCAGAGCACGCAGAATGCAGTTTGATCCCTGAACTCCACTTTCCCGTGCTGAGGGACATCAGCTGTCCTTGTGTGGCTCAGATTTGTGCCCTTTATGGAGATGCAGAACTGCATCCCTTGATGTTCAAGTTGTGCAGAAAACAAATCAGTGTTTCTGGAATGGAAATTGCTGGGGAACTCCAGCAGCTCCAGCAGCTTTGCTCCCTGCCCCAGAAGGCTCACTCAGCCTTAGCAAGTGTCTGTGTGAAATAAAGATAGATCATCTCTTCCCACAGATTCTCAGTAATAATTTAAGTCTTATAAAGAGTAAGATTTTGTTTTCTTGGCTCCCAGTGGTGTTAGAGAGGAGCTATCATCCCTGTTTACAGCTGTGGGGGAAGTGGGGCAAAACAACAAATGATCTGGGGTGAGGCACGAGTGGGATCGTGCACAGGGGTACATGGTGTGCTCTGCTCCCTGCAGGACATGAAACCTCTGCACCTGCATTTTCTAACACCATACAGATCTTTTGGAGACCTTGGGATTTTCTTCTGGAGGTTTATTTTGGCTTTTAACACTTGTTCAAGAAACACAAATTTGTAAACTGGTAATCAGCAGTGCAAATTAACTAAGAGCTGTCTTCTTTTTCTGCTGGGTGTCCTCACACTGATCAATGAGTATCCTCCTTCTCAAAATGAAGGATAATAAATAAAAATATTGCCAAAATTAATGGATAGAGGCAGTTTTCCAGTGTGGGTTTATAGCCAAGTACTGTAGAGGGAAAAGGCTATGCAATTTCTAGGACAAAAGCACCAGGCTTAAGAGAGCTTTACATTTACCTTGCTAATCCTGGAAACAGATCCAGGGCTGAGAAGCAGCGCGTCACCTGGGATTAGTTTCCATGTTTGCAAATAAAAGAGTTTGTGAAGACAGCCCTGTTGCTGGGATTCCACTCTCCTCTCCTGCCTGGCAGTGGGATTTACTCCACTCGCAGGAGGGCTGGTGGTGAAATTGAAACCAGCTCTGAGCACAGCCAGCTGTACCTGGAAAGCGATCGGTAACTCTGTCCTTCCCAGAGCTCTGTTCTGGACAGGATGAGGGCTTTCTTCATCCTTTCCACAGCTATGGTGAAAGGCTGCTTAGTGTGGGTAGGGCTGCTGAAGAAATCCTTGTTTTCCTGCTGACTGTTTTGCTGAGGAACCCTTGACTTCAGGTGTTTGCTCGAGCTCTGTTGAGTGCAGGCAGCTCACAGAGGTGTTGTACAGGTGCTGTTTCGATAGCAAATCAGGACAAACCATTCCTGTAAGGCTGACTTCACTCTCCCATCCTCCACATCTTTTCAAAAGAGATGGGATCAGACTGGATTGTCACATGAAGGGTTCTCCCTGTGCCTTAATGCATTCCATAGGGAACCTCCTCTCCGCATCAGTGGCCAGAGGCTTTGGGGTCCTTCTATGTTGCTTTTATTAGCACAGGAATTACCTGATATATTCACTCCATACCTTCATCCCTGAGCCTGGGCAGCCTCAGGACATCCTGTCTCCAGTGTTATTTTCTTTCCTTCCATCTATTTAGTCCAGACAACAAAAGTAAATAAATAAATAAGTAAATCAGAAAACAAGCAACACCAAGGAGAAAGCTTTCTTTAGATTATCTTGGATGTTATCTTATGGGAACATAACAAAGAAACAATATTTGATGACATTATTAAATTGACAGGATTTGCTTGGCAACACCACCTCCCATTAGCAGCACTGCAGGCAGGATGTGACCCTCTGCATCTAATTCCACTATAAATTCATTCCTTCCAGCAATCTAAAAGCACTAAGAAACAGGATATTAAAAGATTTTGGGCCTGATCCAATAAGGTGCTAAACAAGTCCTCAACTTTAGGTATAACAGTGGTGCTGTTGTGTCCTTGCACCCTAAAGATGGGCTGGGGGGAGATGCTGAAGCTGGATCTGGGGGGGAGATGCTGAAGCTGGATCTGGGGGGAGATGCTGAAGCTGGGTCGGGGCAGGAGGTGCTGAAGCTGGGTCGGGGGGCGGATGCTGAAGCTGGGGCAGGGAGCGGGCAGGTGTTAAAGCC